ATTTGTTAAATGGTGGCTCACCCTTCTTCCCCCCCTCTCTCTATGTATGTCTCTGCCTCTTTTTCTTTCTTTCTTTTACTTATTTTATTTATTTATTAGCCATGTAACCTTCCTCTTTCCTGGACATATTCAGTTGCCTTAACTTAATTTGATCCTTTCCTAAGTCCCTCCTTCCCCGAAGCATTCTGTGTGCAATACCTAGGAAGCAATTCTCCCGCTCTGTAGCATGTGAGGATTCTTGTGGGTTTCAGAGTTTCAGACCCAGGTATCTGGATGAACCAAGCCTTCATTCATCTCTGTGTCACCCGGGGTTTCTCCACTTCCACTTCTCATTCTTTCCACCTCCTTCCCCCTCAGAGCCAAAGTAGTAAACTTTCTAAGTCTATATTGCATTTATTTATATCACTACTTCTGTGCCCATCCCAAGCTGAGTATCTCTTCTGGTGGTCATGAGGGTAAGGCAATGAGAACTTAATTCAACAGCTTTGAGAGAATACTCGGAGGGAGTTCATTTCTTGATTTTGATCCCTGCAGGCATCATCATGAGTGATCCACTGTGGAGGACAGCTAAACACATCAATTTCCAAAATATTGAGATTCAAGGTACGTTTTCACATCCATCCTGCCCTGGAGTGGCTGATATAATTATGAGTATGGAAATTTACTTTTGTTTCCTTGTAAACTTCACCTAGTAAAGAAAGTTAGAAGTGGAAATGATCCTTGGGTGATCTAGTAAAGTGTTTTCTAAACCTTTTTGGGGTCAGAGACACCTTAGAAAAATCTAATAAAAATTGTGGTTTTCCCCTAATAAAGTAACAGTTTGTCTATGAATTGCACACTTTTTTTTTTTCTGGTGTTGGGGATTGAACCCAGGATGCTCTACCACTGAACAATATCCCCAGCGTTTTTATTTTTTATTTTGAGACAGGGTCTCACTAAGTTGCCCAGGCTGGCCTTGAATTTGAGATCCTCATGCCTCTACCTCCAGTCACTAAGATTATAGGTGTGTGCCACTGTGCCCCAATTATTCCACATGTTTTCTTTGCTTTTTAATATATGTTTTATGCATTTATTTTTGAGTGGATAATACATTCCTTTGGCTTAAAATTCAGAAGATGCAAAAGGGAATACAGTACAACTGTAATGTCCCCTTTTTATAATTGGCCCCTATGACACCAGGTTCTCTTCTGGGATACAACCAGTGTTGTATTTATAAAGGGGTTTGTGTATATCTGAAACCTATCCATGGAACGTAAGGTTAGAACCCAAGTTTAGTGCATTTACCTTGTAATGATGAGGACTTCAAAGCACAGAGATGTGAATAACTTGCCTATGGTCACACAGTGGCAGAGGGTGGTCTAGATCTCTGTTAGGAAACAGCAAAATTTTAAGGCATTTGGCTTAACTAGAGCCTTTTAGGAGAAGGGGTAATAAGTGATGGGCAGAAGGATGATGAATATCTGGTGGGGTAGATCATCCAGGATGTAGTAAAAACAAACAAGCATTTGTCCCATGGTGTGTGTCTGTCTGTCTGTCTGCCTGTCTGTCTCTCTCTCTCTCTCGTCATTCCTTTTGGGAAAGGGGATGTTCAAAGAAGTTTCCATAGCCTGGTGTGGTGGTGCACACCTATAATCCTAGTGGCTCCAGAGGCTAAGGCAGAAGGATCACAAATTCAAAGCCAGCCTCAGCAAAGGTGAGGTGCTAAACAACTCAGTGAGACCCTGTCTCTAAATAAAATACAAAAAACGGGATGTGGGATATGGGATGTGGATGGGGATGTAGCTCAGTGGTCAAGTGCTCCTGTGTTCAATCCCCGGCCTCCCCCTCCTCCCAAAAAAAGAAGTTTCTATGATTCTGGCTATAAATGTCAGGTGGGTCCAAACTGTTCTTAACCTTTGATCTGTGGACCTTTATACTACCTCCCCCTTTGCTGACTGGAAACTTCTGAAAGTTTCAAGACAGTCACATAGGTAGCTGACTAAGACCAACTTGGCACAACCGTTTGTAAGATGAAGGGTGGGAGACACACCTAGCACACTTTGCTCATTTCCTTGAAGTTGGGGCTTCTCTTCCTGTCCTTGTCCTTGTCTGACATCTCTGCCTAGGTATCTCTCTGCCACTTCAAAGGAGGGAACTGAAGGTATTAACGACAGGCCAGGGGTTCCACAGTGTGCCAGGTAGATGTGCACTTTGCCATCCATGCTGCAGCCTGGCCCTCAGGAAGGTGTGGTGACCCGTTTTACACACATGCCTGCCAAGCTCAGTCAGATTAAAGACCCAAGAACATCCAGACTCACTGCAGCTCAAACCCAGGTCAGCGAGAGCCAGGGCTCCTCCCAGACGCCAAGGTTCCTCCATGCAGCAGGCCTCTGACTTCTGACCCCAGGGCCCAGGGATGTGAAGCTCAGAGCATGACTCCATCCATGACCCCACTCTGCATCTTCCTGGGTCTTGGAGGGAAACCCACCAACACAGGGAGCAAGGCCATCTACAGGAGAGGACATCCGGAATACTCCAGGGGAGCCACTCGCAGGCTCCATGTTTGGGGATCACTCAGGGGTACCGTCTGAACAATATTTAGTCAGGGATTCTGGACTGAGAGTTCTGAAATCTCCCTCCATGGACTCCTACTTTCAAACTTAATTAGAGAGCAAACCCACCTTTGTCTCAGCTTTGATGAAACAGAGGGGTGGGCAGGAAGCAGATGGTGAGTCTAGATTCTAAAACATGTTGCTCCTTTGGGGAGCCTCAGCCCCACCAGCCAGTGCTTCCCTGGCACTCTTGTTTGTTTTAAGGGAAAACAGTAGTTGGTTAACTTTGGTGCCTTGTGTAGTTGTCCTGCCTCTTTTGGGGGCCCCAGGGTGCATCTACCAGAGAGGACAGGTCTGGGTGTTGGTCTTGGAGATCTAGTAAATCTTACCCTACACCAAAGCCCAAATCATGGGTCCCTACTTCAGTCCACTGAAGACAAGTGTCTTAGCCTCCCAGCTGGGCTCCTGGTGGCTCTGGTCTCTATCAGTCAATCCTCTTCCTTCTAGGCATGACACACCCTGGCTTAGAACCTTCCTTGGTTCCTTGTTCCCTGTCCAAACTCCTCAGCACAAGGAGCAAAGCCCTCCACTATCTCTTCAGTATTTTAATTTTTAAAAAGCTCTTACATACACATGGCGAAAGGGAAAAAAATATCAAAGAGCATGAAAAGATTCTCAGTGCAAAGTGGGTTGGTCTCCTTTCTATTCCAAATCTTCAGTTCTCCTAGGAGGGAACCTCGGTGAGCAGTTATTTGGTATCTACTTTCAGCAGTAGTAGATGCACAAAGGAGCTTAGATCTATAATATGGATCCCCTGGGGGTAGATCTGGATCCAGGACAAGGATCTGGAATTAGGTCAGAGAGACCCCTATCTTGTTCTGGGGTGCTAACTTGAAGGTCAGCTGATGGCCCCTATCCCCACAATGGAGGGTTAACATTTATTCTTCATATACTCCTAGGCAAGGTATGTGTGTGTGTGTGCACGTGTGTGCGCAGGTGTGCTGCCCTTGGTCCACATCCAGTATGTTTATATTTTTGCCTGAATTGGGGAGTTGGGCTCCCCAAGCCAGCTCCTGAGTGGCCTGAAGGTTCTCTGGAAGGAACAGAGCAAGTGTCTGGGACAAGTAGGGCAGTGACCACGGAGGCCAGCTATGCTCTGGAATATCCAGAACCTTCTTCACCAACAACCATACTCCTCTCCCTCTCCTGTCACCCACAGGGCTTGGTGAAACTGGCAGAATTGCACTGTAGGTGGCAACCTGGGGGGCTTTGGCAAAAAGAAAGAGCAAAGGAGAGAAATAGTTGAACATGAACTTCTGACCAGCCAGGGTGGGGTGGTGCATACCTGTAATCCCAGTGGCTCAGGAGGCTGAGGCAGGAGGATCACAGGTATGAAGCCAGCCTCAGCAACTTAGCAAGGTTGTAAGGAACCTAGGTAGACCCAGTCTCAAAATAAGAAGTAAAAAGGGCTGGGGATGTGGCTCAGTGGTTAAGCACCCTGAGTTCTATCCCTGGTACCCAAAATCAAAACCAAAACCAAACTGACTTCAGATAGTGAGCCAGGCATTGTTATATACAAGTTCTCCATTATCAGGGCAAATCCTTGAGGCTGGTTGTGGCTATTATTCTCCTTTGACAGGAAAATACCCATCCTAGATGCTGTTGTTACCCCACTTAACAGATGAGGACACTGAGACTCAGGGTATTAAATAATTTGCTCCTGTCTGGCTTCCCTCCTCTCCCATCTGAAGGGGCTTCACTCCCTTCTAGCTCGGCTTCCCAGACCTGACCCTCTGCCACCACTAACGCTGCCAGGGGCTCTGGGGTTTTGTTGCAGGGAGGAGTGAGCACTTGAATTTTGGAGCCATGGGCTCTGGTTCTGGGGCAGCTGGAGCTACAGGAGGTCCCCTGCATCTCAAAACAGGTTTGAGAGGCTGAGGCGCCTGACCACACTGATGGCCAGCACCCTGGGAGAGTCTGCTCTGGAATGTGGGGTCACGTGGACACAAAGGAATTAACTCCGTGCCCCTGGGTCTCAGCCCAGATGGTCATGGCCATGTGACTACCTCTTACAACTGCCCCTACTCTTTGCCCCTTGTCTGCCTGGAGCCGTGGGCTCTGTTGGTTTTGGATCAGAGGTGGTGGCTTGGGGAGCTGCCAATTTGCCCACTCTGGTAGGGGCCTTCTCTAAGTTTCAGGACAGGAGACAGAGGCACCTGGGAGCTTCCCAAGGTGAAAAAGAAAGGCGGGGGTTGGTGCTTGGGAGACAAAGGAGCTCCTGCAGGGTCCTCTGCCTCACCTGGCTAAGCTACCTGGCCAGACTCCTTGCTGGAAAGCAGCATCTCAGGCTCCAGGCTGGTCCTGCCCTAGAAGAGCCTCTAGGACCCTGGGCGAGTGGGGAGCTAACTGGGGCTGGGAGCACTGGCCACTCCTGCAGCCCCAGGGACAGCCCCCCTAGCCTTCTGACTTCTACATGATCTTGGCCTTGACCCCCTACAGAGGCAAAAGTAGGGGTCAGCTGGTGTCTGGCAGCCATAGCCCTCCTGATTGCCTCCACCTCCTTTTTCTTAACCCTGCATGGTCCAGGTCAAGCCCTCCTCCCTGGGAGCCAACCAAGCCTGAGCCGGGGTCCTCCTAATCCTTTCATCTGCTGTCTTCCTGCTCCAGGGGCCTCTTCCCAGGGCTCTGTCTCTACACTGAGGCTGAGGGCCTGCAGCAGGGTCCCATGCACTGCAGGATGGCAGAGGTGGCCGGGCTGAGCTGGCCGTGGAAGAGCACACAGCCCCCGCATTGCTTCTGCATGGAGTGCTGCTGCTCCTTTTCCCTTTGTCTCCGGTTACTCCCCTGCCTCCCCGGCAAGGCCCTGAGTCTGTGGAAACTTGTGTTCACCCATTTCACCCAGCAAGCGTCGTCTATTGATCTATGTTTGTTTGGGGTTCAAATCCTGACTCCTCTATTCACTTTGGACAAGCTATTTGCTCTCTTTGGGCTTTGGTGTCCTCCGTGTGGCATGAGAACCCCCCTCACACGTTGTTGTTGGAGAACAAAGCAGAGTGTGTGTTAATTGTCTGCAGAATCCAAGCTTCTGGGCTTGCAGAGATGTTACTCTTCTTGCTTCCCTTACTCGTGTGTGTGTGTGTGTGTGTGTGTGTGTGTGTGTGTGTGTCGGGGAGGATGCTGGGGATGGAACCCACGTGTGCTCTACCACTGAACTATATCCCCGGCCCATTTTAGTTTTTATTTTGAAACAGAGTCTCATGCCTGTAATCCTAGTGACCCTGGACACAGGCGTGAAGGAGCTGGATGAAGAGGGGGCTGGGGTGCCCAGGGACTCTGAGGGCTGTCAGCAGGAGCTATTCAAGGCCCTGGTACCAGGGACAGGAGGGAGAAAGGAATCAGGGTTATCCCTCAGCTCCATGTTCAGGGGAGGCAGCATGAAATCAGGTTTTAGGGAAGAAATCCAGGCCTGAGGTGCCAGAGACCATGGGACAGAAGAGGGTAGAGGACAGGTGAGCAGGTGGATGCGCAGGTCTGGTCTTGAAGACTGGCCTGGGCAGGAGATGGTCCTCTGAGCGGGTGATAGCTGGAGGAGTGACTTTGGATTGGGACCCAGGGAAGGTGGGCAGTCTGAGAAGGTGGGAGGGGATGCTGGGAGCAAATGCACCTGAACTTGGGGGCAGGACAGGAAAAGCAGGACAATGGCAGGAATTAGTGTCTTGCTTCCTAAGGAGACCTGCAGATGGGGCCGAGGTAGGACCTGCTGGACAGAGATGGATGGAGATACAGCTGGAAAGGGTCCAGGAAACCCGGGCCAGAGGGATGGCTTCAGAGTGGAGGGGCCCAAGCCAGGACGCAGGATGTGAGGGGTGGTGGGGACATGTGGGCACAGTTGCCCAACTTGTCCTGTGTCTTGGCTCTGAAGGGCAAGAGGCAGCCTGGCAGGAGGGGCAAGTGGGAAGAGTTTCTTTGATGCAAGATGAGAGGGAAATAGCACAAAGAGCTGGGTGGGAAGGACAGGTCGGCTGTACTAGAAGGGTGACGGTCATTAACAGAGTGACAGCCTTTAAAAGGGGAAGGGACATCCAGGAGATGTGTGATTTCCCAGGCAGTATAAGGTACTGGAAAGCCATAATTTGTATCAACCATCTTCCATTTACTCAGCATCATCTACTAGGTGCCAAACACCAGTGTACATACTACATGCACACACACACACACACACACACACACACACTAACCCACTCTATGCACCCCGTAGCCCTATGAAGTAGATGCTGTCATATTCCCCATTTCACAGAAGGAACCCTGGCACAGAGATGTTAGGTAGCTTACTCCAAGTCACACAGCCCACATGCCAACGTGGTATTGCTGATGTGTGGGGGTGGGAGGATGAGGGGGAGTGAGGGGTGACTCCAGAGGTGTGTCATGGATTCCAGGGCCAGATTGCAGGGGTTTCAATTCCCACTTATCTGCTTCACTCCTCTGTTGCTTTGTTTCCCCATGAGGAAAATGGGTGTGAGAGGTGATACCTACTTCATAGTGCTGTTGGGTGGATTCAATGTGCAAGTGCCAGGAGGTCTGGCATATAGGGGGCACAAGTGGGGTTAGAACTGGGTGCCCTCTGACTCGGAGAGCAGAGGGTGATAGACAGATGGCTGCCATTCCTCCAGGCTTTTCTAGGGTATTTTTCTATTTCTTGGCTCTGCCCTGGGTGGGACAGGACCCCTTGCAGGCAGGTGGAGAAGCAGCTTGTGGCAGAGTTACAGATGCCTTTGGGACCAGAGGCCAGTCTCTTTGCTCTACTTGGTGGTAGCTATGGGGCCTTCTGCACAGTACTCTGAGAGCTTCAACCTCCTCTGGGCACAGACTGCCAGCAATACCCCACTTTGCTGGGTGGCGGTGGGAATCAAATGAGTGCATGGGTGTGAGCAGGTGTGCCCAGCTCAGTGCTCGCACCCGGCAGTACTCATAAGACAGCTGCATCCACCACCTCTACAGACCTGGATGGAGCTCCCAGCAGGGTCAGGCACTGTTCTAGAAGAAATGACCCAACGAGTCCTGGAACCCGGAGTAGTGCCTCGGTAGCCAGTCAGTGCTGGGAATGTGCAGGAAGGGGTTGTCTCTGCAAGAGTCATGAAACAGCTCAGGAGGTGCCGGGATTCATTGATCAGAAAAGGAAGGAGGGCTGGTGGCTCAGGGGTAGAGCGCTCGCCTAGCATGCGTGAGGCACTGGGTTCCATCCTCAGCACCACCTAGAACTAAAAAATCAATATTAAAAAAGAAAAAGGAGAGCAGAGACCACCTCTCCCCTTTGCTTTATAACTAGCACCATCAGATGTCCTGGGTCCCTCTGTCTTGCCCCACCTAAGTCAGCTTTCTGTGGATCACAGTTGCTCTGGGCAGCCCCTGGTTCCATGCCCATGTGACCAGGAAGAAGCCAGGCCAGGCCTGTGAGCACTGGGGGACAGTGGCAGGGCCTCCTGCTCAGAGGATTTGCTTCCAGATCAGACACTTGGGACCCTGGAAACCAAATTCCCTTGTGTCGGGGCTGTGTGATTTCCCAGGCAAGGGAGGAGTTTGTTTTGGGGATACTGTGGGTTCTGGGCAGGCCTGACTTCATGGGTGTGGACTGCTGTGGTCACACGGGGCCCCACATTCCGAAGGGATGCCACCAGCTTGCGATTCTGAGTAATTCTGAATAAGGAGTCCCCACAGTTGCTGTCGGTTCCCAGAATCCTGTAGCTGGACCTGGTCCTAGGACCTGGGGTGCTGGTGTGTCTCCCACAGTGGATGTTGGGGGTTACTCGCCTGCCCTTGAGAGGTGCAGGATTAGGTGGGGGAGGGAGAGCAGGAGGGCTGCTGGCTTTGTCCCTGGGGAGGCCCAGGAGCGGCTGAGACCTGCGGTACCCAGTAAAGCAAGCCAGGCAGCCAGACGGGGTTTGCACTCCAGCCTGCGGCTGGTCAGCCGCGTGCTCCTCAGGGGACATTTAATATCTCTGAGCAGCTTCCTCATCTGAAGCAGGGGGCTGGTGTGAGGGTTCACACGAGGTCATGCATGAGAGTACCTGGAGCGGAGCAGGTGCTTAGCAAGTGTTTGCTGTCGCTCGTGGGGCTGTGCGCAAGGAGGCAGCGGTGAGGTGAGTGAGTGTTCTGCTGTGGGAGGCTGGGGGAGGGGAGGCACAGAGCCCTGGCCAGCCCTCCCAGGCTCTCAGAGGGTCCAACACCACCGTTGGAACCAAGTTCCAGGAAATGGGCTGCCAGGTCCCCTTCAGGTGACCACCCTCTTTGTCTACTTCTGACTAAGAGCTTTGCCAATTCTGGAGTGACCAAATCCTAGCTCTAGGAGGGAACCTCAGGTGGCCGGGCCAGTGAGGCCTGGAGGGATCCTGCCTCCAGGTCCGCCTCCAGTGGGGGAGGGAGCCAGTAAGTCCTCGGGGCACCAGAGACCCTCAGGGCACCTAGGCTGGGCTAGGCCACTCTCCTGAGACAGCCCAGAAGTCTCCCTGCTCAGGGGACAGAGCTTCAGGCTGCCTCCTCCTCAACACCCCTGTCCACTCCCATTTCTGACCCATGACCCTCAGCAGCCTGAGAGCTGAAAGGTTATGGTGCCCCTCCCCCCATCCAAAATAGAAAACACCCTGATACTTAAAATAAGTGTGAGGAAGTCCAAGAAAGTTCTGATTTTTTCCCAGGATGTGTACTTCCTTGCTATTTTTGAAGTACCAAGTTTTAGCCCTTAAAAAAGCAAAACCAAACCCAAACACTTTGTTGATGCCCTTTTCCTGCCAGTGCCCTAAGTACATGCCTAATCTGCCTATTGGGTAACCTGGCCTCGCCTGCCCCCTTCCCAGTGCCAGAGAAGGACAGAGGCCTGGCCTGCAATACCAGGGCATTGGGCCACTCTGCCCAGAGCCTTCCCAAGGGAGTCAGAAACCCTGGGCCAATCAGCTTCTGCCGGGGAGGTGACATCAGAAAAGCCCAGAAAGTTCCTCTGCTTCCGTCCCTGCCCTGGAGCACCTCTCCTCCCCATGAGAGCAGCCAGGGCCAGCAGAGGCCAGCCTGGCCTCCTTCCAGTCCTCAGCTGGCCAAGGACAGCAGGGCTGCGTTGGTCCCAAGGCCAGCTGCCCTTCACCCACACCTGTTGGGCAGGTCCCTCCGCCTAGCCAAGAACTGCCCCTTCTGCTCACTCTCCAGGGCGGGCGGGGGAGGGAGTAACAAGTCCTGGAGCCTTTTCTGCAAACTGGCTTTTCCAGATCCTGCTCATAAAAATAAAACCACATGTCTGGAAAGGAGAGGGAGGGGAGGGGGCGCAGAATACACAGAGGCTGTGGATAAGCAAGGACAGGCGGCCCAAGCACAAGACTGGAGTGTCCCATGGGAAGAGGCAGATAGGGGAGCATCTTGGAAAATTCCAGAGGAGTGGCATCTTTCAGGGCACTCCACTGTGCAGAGAGAAAACAGGCCCCCAAAGGGGCAGGTGACGTCCACAAGGT